TTTTAACTCAAGATTCTGATCCAGTCAGTGGATAGAAACAGGGGTGGCTGCTCCGATCATTACCTTCACTGGAACCTGGATGAAGCAGGTATGTCCTTTCAGGTCTCATGAGACCTCTGGGCAAGGCTGAGTGCCATTGACTATGATGTCCTTCTGGTTTGTCAGTTGGAGCCATCGGTTATTGGGGTGGGGAGATAAACTACTTTTGCAAAACAAAACCTGAACAACTTGAGAGAAGCAGCTAAAAAAGGCTTCAGGGTGCAGTTTGAATTCAGATGTATCACTTGATATTGCCAAAGCACTGATCTTCTCACAGGAATCTTTGTTGACCATGATGTAGATCAACATTGTAGATAAAAGCTAATTTAGCAGTGCTGTAAGATAAAATTGTGACTCTAATAGTTGGTGAAAGCCACTGAATGCAGCTAGGTTGCATTTGAAACTCTTTCCACTGTATTCCTAGGGAAACAGCTATGAGTCCTACTTGTAACTAGCCTCCACCAACACAAGGGGAAGTGCTCCAACATTCATGGAAGCACACTGACCACATGTGTCAGGACAACGGCACTTGGGGTCATAAGCCTCGTGAAGGCAATCCCAGACCATGAATTTTAGCAACTTCCCCTTTCTGAATCTGCTGAGAAGTCCGACATTCATCATCCCATGATGAAAACAGCAAGTTCAACTTCCAATTAGTTCTCATCACATTTTAACTAAACAGCAGCTAACTAATGGGCAAAAGTGATTGCAGCTGAGAGGCATAATACTGTTAAAAATAAACAAAAATTAAACCAAAAAAACACAAAGTTTCAAAGTCAATTTTTTTATCAATGGATTTTTTTAAAAAAATTGCTGGCTCATCTATGGAGTGTTTACAAAGTAAAGGCTTTTTCTTCCTTCTATTTTCTCTAAGAGCTACTAAAAACTGAAATATTTATGTAAAATGAGGAGTTGAGAAATTATGTAAAGCATCTTCTTTTGGAACCAAGTAAAAACACTTGTTTATAATGTTAAAACATTTCCAGATTTTTTTAAAAAACTTTAATTTGTACTAATGATGCATTAAAAATAGAATATTACTCTGGAGCATTCATGCATATAGGAATTACATTATGAATTTGAAGTGGATCTTTTGATAAGCAGTATCAGCCATACATGAAAGCAAGCAGCAGCTTCATTATGATTCCAAATTCTGTATCTTTTTTTTTTTAATAGTTTTATTTGGGTTTTCACACACAAAATACAAGTAAAACATCTTTTTTGAAAATAGCACGGTCCCGGGTTGAACTTCTTTATACAGACACAGAACTCAATTTCATGCTCCTTTTTGTATTCTATTCCATATCTTATACTATTTTACGTTTTCTATATAGTTTTTCCCCTCTTTTAATTTTCTCAATTTTATTTTGATTATCTCATCTCAATTCAAATCATTATATTTATACTTTTGTCTGTTCTGTTTCAATTTCATATTATCTTTTCTCACTAAACAAATTTTCTCCTGTAGTTACTAATTGGAGTATGACACCTTTATATCTTTTAATTACATCCATTCAACTCTGATTTAAACTTCAATATATACCTTGTTTATGACCTTCAATATAATACAGAATACATAACTTCCAATCAAATTCTGCTTGGCACATTCTTATAATACACAATATATTCTTTAAAAAAAGAAAGATTGTAAATATATGTAATTATAAACCCTCATTCCATTCCAGTTCAGTTCTATCATTAATAATCATTAAAATCTTAACATCTTTAACACTTTTCAATTAAATATCATACTTCCTTAAAAACACATATAATCTCCATAATTAATTTTTCCCTTATTTCTCTTCACGTTTTATAAATCATTAAGTATACCTTTTGTTACATTTATTTATTGACAAGCATTCCACTGAATTACGATAGCTATTTTATCAGACATTTTCCAAATTCTGTATCTTTAATACAGCTGAAGATCAGAGGTTTAGTTACCTAAATGAATCAACGCCCTTTTATTTCTGATGTTGAGAAAAATTTTAATAAAAATATTTTGCCTGATAAATATCTGTGCATAATAAATAGAAATTTAGAGAAAATATGTGCTTAATATCTAAAATATTAATAAACATGCACTGCTAAATCAATCAATAAAACAGAATTATTGCTTTTTGAAGCACCTTCAAGTACCACAGGTAACTGCATCAGGCTGACTTCAAAAAAGCTAATTAGGTTGAAAGTACCTGGATGAGAGGCCAAGGGGAAATCCCAAAACTATAGGTTAAACTGAAAATAAAAAAAAATACTATAGCAGCAAGACCAAAAAGTTTCCATAGTGTTGCCAAGAAACCTACATTATCATTGTATGTAATCACTAGAAGTCAAACTCAAATTGAGGCTGTCTTTTCCTTTTACCACAGCAATTTCAAAAGAGAACTTTAATAGAGCATTATGTCTTTTGACTATGTTTCCTTAAGAGAACTGATGATTTTTAAGTGATAGCAGCATCTAACACATTAATTTGTTGTTATCTCTTGTATACTCACAAAATCTTCCAAATGTTGTATTGTTTCATTAATTTTCTTCATGTAAATTTTTGATGCCAAGACTCCAAAAATGTGTCTTATAAAAATTTAGGCTGATTACATAAATTAGTGAAATGGTATACTAAAATCTCTCTACATTAATACAGTATCTGATTTCAGAATATCTTTTAAAAGATTCTATGAAATGCATTCCAAAGCAAATGAAATAAAATGACTATTAGTATATGAGATGCAGAAGATGGTTTTAAAGAGGGTTGGCACCATTTTTGTAAAAAAAATAATGAACATGTATTCATTATAGTGAGTTTGACATTACAGTAACCATCAATGCTAACTCATTATTTGCTTACTTTATTCAAATGGCTGAATTCATGTACATTTAAAATAAAAAACTAACACCCTGTCTGGATCCAATAAACACAGAGCCACATACTAGTCAAACATATTTTGCACAAATCTGCACAAACACCTAGTAAGAAAAATATAAGGTTTTATTCATATAACCCTGCACCATATGCTCAATTCACCTTTGTTGGAATCCCAAGTTTTTCAAAATACTGCATTCATCCTCCTCCACAGAATGGAAAAAAGGAAGAATGTCTTCCTAATACAACCCACACTGCTGTGCTCTTTGTCACTTCATTTGCATTATGATAAAACTGAACAGCCAAACTCTAAGGCTCCTTTAAAAAGAAAAGGCAGATTCAAGGAAAATAATTCATTCGGTGCAAGAAAAGTAGAGCAGAGAGACTGCAAGCATCAAAAGGCAGGACGAGGGGAAAAAAAGAGAAACTGGCTGCAAGTGAAGTTAGAGGCTGCCAATCATTTTTGTTAAGACTGCTAAAGATACATGTTTAAATTCTACAGTACTGGAAAACCCAGTTTTAAAAGACATTTTAAATAAATATTCCATGTGACACATGGAAGAAGCAAGAAGATTATACTCCTTTTCCCATCCCGAAGATTAAGGCAAAGGCTGATGGATTTAGAGACTGGATTCATAAAAAGCCACTGCAATTTCTGCAATTGGCTACTGTCAGAGGAGTGCCCTCCAAGTATGCTTTCCGACAGCTCTCACCCTTCTCAGCCAGCAGGACCCCCAACCTCAGCCATTAACAATCACAGCCACAGGAGTTTTAATCCACAGCAACAGCTGAGAACAGATGCGGTGTCACACCATGTCTTTAAAAGCACCCTTGAAGAAAAACACCACAGCAAGCAGAATATTTTTTTTTTATTACAGTTAATGCAGGCGTGCAACCACATTTCGCAGCCGTAGACCGGAGAGCCTTTACCAGTTGGACTGGACTGCAGCATTACTGCCATACTGAAGGCCTGAGCCCCGGCAGATCCTAACCGCTGTCCCAAATCCGGCTCCCAAATCAAAATGGGAAGAGAGAGAGAGAGAGAGAGAGAGAGAGAAAGAAAAGCAGCTTCCTTTGGTGGCTTATCTAGTAAATACAGCAGCCCAGATAAACAAATATTGCCATGAGAAAGTTTTTTTTACACAGGAAGAGCCTGTAAGGATGCTGAGCAAATCCATTGCTTTCTTTCTCTCTCTGGTGTGGGTTTACCCCCCCTTTTTTCTTAGAATACCTCTGAACCTCCTTAGGAGAAGAAAGGGGGGGAGTGGGGGGCAAAAAAAACCCTTATCTCTCTCCTCTAGCAGAGCTTGGGTTTTTTTTTTCCCCCTTCTTCCATGGAGGTGTGTGTGTGGGGGGGGTGGATCACAATGCAGCTGCTGCAGCCCAGATTTCGACCTTGCACACCACCACGCAATACAACAGCACAACCATCCTTTCTCTCCCCCACTTCTCTCTAACCTCCCCCGCTTTTTTGCTTTTTTTTTTGAGGGGAGGGGAGACTCGGGTCTGACAAGAAACCCTCCAAAAATGGATGATCTCATGTAGCATTTGCGGGGGGGGGGAGGAGGGGGGGCAGGAAAGTGGAGGCTCCGTGACCTTGCAAGGCAGGCAGGCAGAAGAACGGGGTGCAGGGAAGGAGTGGGGGGGGGTTGGGGAGGGGGGGATCTCTTCCAGAAGGGATATGGGGGGGGGCTGGGCTCCCCCAGGAGAGGATCCGGCAGGCTCGGAATCGGGAGCCGCCTCGAATGAATGAAGCCTCCCTGCGGCCGAGAGGAGCCGGCGGGTCCCCCTCCCCTTATTGGTGTATATGTGAGGGGGGGGTCCGTGGGGTATATTTTTCCAGCCCCCCCCCCGCCCGCCCTTCTTCGTCCGCGCACATCGCTCCCGTCCGGATCTCGGCGGCAGCGGCGGCCCCATTTCCTCTCTCCATCCCGGAGGAAAGCCGCGGGTGAGAGGCGTCGCTGGGGGCCGCCCGTGGGGACCCGCAGGTGCGGAGGGGTGGCGGAGGAGAGCGGCCGCCCGCTCGGTCTTTCGGGCGCCTCATCCCCGGGCTGAGGGTGGGGAAAGCCGGCGGAGGGCCGGGGCAGCGGGCGAGGCTCACCTGCGGGACCACCGCATCGCTCCGCCGCAGCTTTCTTCTCTGTGTCTTTTCGTCCCTTGGCTCCGGGCCGGCGAGGGGCAGCACCGCCACCGCGACGGCCACCCGCCTCCTCCACCCGCTTTGGTGGGGAGGAAACGCCGCGCCGCCTCGCCTCACAGCCACCTCAGCCGCCGCCTCTCTCGCTCCCTCTCGCGCGCGCGCACGCGCACGAGCAGCGGCCGGACCCCGCCCCTCCCTCTCTCTCTCTCTCTCTCTCTCTCCCCCCCCTCCCCTCCAGCACCAGCCTCGAGCTGACGTGACGCGCGCGCTCGCGGAACCAGCGGCCGCGAAAGGCGGAGGTCTCCTCCGGCCGCCGCGCCCCAAGCCAAGCCCCGCCCACGCCTCCTCCTCCTCCTCCTCCTTCTCCTTAAAAAAAAAAAACCCCCCCCCCCCCTCCTCCTTAGGGGGCGGAGCGAGGAGGAGGAGAAACAGGCCGGCCACTTTCGAAAGGTAGGAGCCGCGCGCTCACCGCCCAGGCCCGGCGATTCCCGTCGAGGCTTTACGCGAGTGGCGTAGCGCTGGATGGGAGGGGTGGAGGCCAAGGGAGGAAAGCGGCGCCTTTTCTTTTCTTTTCTTTTTTTTTTTACGACGGCGGCGTTGCTTGGCGGCCGCGCCGGGCAACCCTCCCCCCCCCCCCCCCAGCGAGGAGCGCGAGGCCCGGTGGCAGGTAAGGCGCCTCGTGAGGGGAGTTCGCCTCTGAGGGGGAATCGGGCGCGGAGGCCCCGGTTGAAATGAGGAGAAAGGCCGCCTGAGGGGGACCCTGAGCGTGGGGCCGGTTCGGCTGCTTGGACAGCGCTCCCGCGGGGCCGGACCCGCCTCCCCGGCTCTCCCAACGGCGCCTGGATGGTTGAAATCCTCCCGCCTTTTCTCCGTGAGGGAAAACCGTCCCTGCCCCGCCATTCATTCGCCCTCATCCTGTGTTAGAGATTGTCCTCGATTTAACGACCCACTATCGACCTTCCCCCCCCGTTGTTAAGCGAGACGTTTATTAAGTGCATTTTGCCTCACTTTCTTGACCCGGTTGGTAAGTGGGAGCCTTCTAGATGCAGATAGTCCTCGACTTAAGGCCGCAATTGAGCCCTAAATTGATGCTGTTAAGTGAGACATTTGTCAAGGTAGTTTGGCTTCATTGGGCGACCTTTCTGGCCTCAGGTGTTCAGTGAATCACTGCAGTTGCTAAGTGAGTAGCATGGTTGTTAAGTGAATCTGACGGGGGGGGGGAAGAAAGTCGCAAAAGGGGATCTTGTGACCCCGGGGAGGAGGACACACACGCACACAGCAACGGTCATAAGTATGAAGCCATTGCCAACCCTCTGAATTTTGATCAGGTGACCGTGAGGATGCTGCAGTGCAGTTGTCAACTTGGAACGGTCACTAAGCGAACTCGTCGTAAGTCTAGGACTACTTAGGAAGCAAAGTAAAACGTAGTTAGATCGTCTTGCCTGCAGGGAAATTCCAACTATTGGAACTAATAGTTGTCGCAGCTTTTCTTTTCTTTTTAAATTTATTTTTTCATTTTAATTATGAGAATACAACACAATTCATCCAGCTTCCCTTTGTTGTACATATATACATTTTACTTCATCATTTGTAACCTCCTTATTTAATACATTAATTACTAATTAATCTAATCATAACTACTAATATTTCTACCTTGTCTTCTGCTATAAAACCATTGGTAAAATTTATTCCATGTTTTATAATATTTAGATTCTCCTTTGTCTTTTAATTCTAGAATTAACCTATCTGATTCTGCACATGCCATAATTTTCCTTATTATTTCTGTTTCTGGAGGTATGATTTCATTTTTCCAGGATTGTGCATATATTATTCTAGCCGCCATCAATACATGTACTATTAGATACATTATTTCCTTCTTAAGTTTTTCTGATATTATACCTAGGAGAAAAAAAAAATCCGGTTTAAATGGAATACACTCTCCCACCATTTGTTCTATCCTTGCAGCATTGCAAGTCCACCACACGTGAAAAAATGTGCCTGATACATCTTTACACTTCATAAAGATGTATCATAGAATCTATAGATACATATAGACTATATATCATATAGTCGCAGCTTTTCTTATTCTCCCTGGTGAGATGGCAGCACCTAGCTAACCTAGGTTGATCTTGGAAATAAGGTTTATCTCCGTTAATTATTGGATGAATCGCCACTAGGAAATGTAGGCTAAAAAGCAACTTGTAAAGCAGCAGTATAAACTAATGTCATATCTTTGCCCCCACCCCGCCCCCCAAAAAACAAAAAAGCTACATGGATGTGGCCATGAGGTCATCAGAGGTTGAGCACAAGATTTTACTCTACAATTTTCAAGGCTATTTTTCTGGGGGGGGTTTTCTACCACTGGAAAGTTGCTTGGCCTAAAAAAAGGTTCCTGTATGCCTATCCCTTCATAATTGCAGGTTCTATTTTTTCCCCTTTGTATACTATACTTAAAAGTGCTTTGTTGTAGCTTCCAAGAAAATGAGTTGGTATCTGAAAAAGATTTCCTTTAGATATAGAATTTATTTGGTGAGTCACTGCCGAAAAGTTTCAAGTAACAGCTAATGGATAGAATGAGCAAATGCAGCCAGGAAATGAACAATTTCTTGCTGTGGGACGATGCTGAAAACCACCATGTTGCTCTTACCGACGAAGGCTAAGCAAAGGGGAGGATGCAGCACCTATTATGTAGCTATTAATCTGTGCAAGTCCGGATTGTTGACTCAGGTAAATCATAGATGCTCCTATTCCATCTTAATATTCCTGTAACGGGGATCAGCATTATGGGTCTTAAATCCACAAGATATTTGCCTCAGAAAAATGGAAAGATCTGGTTGCATTTTTTTAAAAAAAGGCAAATACCAGTTCATTACAGCAGGAGGTCTCCAGATTTGGTAACTTTTAACTTGTGGACTTCAACTCCCAGAATTCCTCAACCAGCAGGGTTGAAATCCACAAACCTTAAAGTTGCCAAGTTTGGAGACCTCTGCATTACAGAAGATCTAATATAGAGATCATCACTCTTAATTCTCATTGTTTTCAAAAGGCAGTTGTTTAGTTATTGCCTTTGAAGATCTTAACGATTACTAATACATACAAGTCATCAGTGAATTTCCTTTGTGTTTTAATTGTATGCAGGAAAACTTCCCATCCCTTCCTAATGAGTAAATAGGCACATGCAGCTTCTTTCCTGTTGTAATGAATGGGTGTTCTCCAGTTTTCTCTGAGTCATGCCCAAGGGACAGCGCTTGCTGTCAGTTGTCCGCTTTCAAAAGGCTGAATCAGACCCTAGTGATACACAGAAGTATTTACAAAAGCCGAACATCAAATAACTTCAAGGCTGCAGTCAATTTTTTAGTTTTCTTGAGAATGTTTTAGTGGCACCGACCTTTAGATAAACAAGAATCCAGTCAGGCTGAAAAATATGCAGTTTTGTCCCTGAATTCAAGAGAGGGGCTAAAGGAAGAGTCAGTTTATTTTCCTAACTGCGTGAGGTAGAAAAATATTTTAAAATCAGAGCAACATCTAATCAATTGCCATGCTCCCATTTGGCAAACCAAACGTTGTCTAGTATGTTGTCTAGTTTTCCCATTTAACCTTTTTCATTCAGTAGCTCGGATGCAGAAGCACTTCACACTTCTCATGTGTAAATTTCTTTTTTCCTCTCTGTTCACGTTAGGCTTTGGGCTTTCTCCAGCAGTCGTAGCCCTGCTTGTACAGAATGGACCCTGTTGTCCTGAGTTACATGGATAGTTTGCTGAGACAATCAGACATTTCTTTATTAGATCCTCCCTGCTGGCTTAATGACCACATCATTGGGTTTGCCTTTGAGTATTTTGCCAACGACCAGTTCCGAGACTTCTCTGACCAGGCCTGCTTCGTGGGCCCGGAAGTGGCTCAGTTCATCAAATGCACCACCAACCAGGAGGAACTGGCCATGTTCCTTGAGCCCCTGGACTTGCTGCACAAGAAAATTGTGTTCCTGGCTATCAATGACAACTCCAACCAGGCAGCTGGTGGCACCCATTGGAGCTTGCTAGTGTATTTCCAAGACAAGAACGGCTTTGCTCACTATGACTCCCACAGCAGGTGTAACTCAGCACATGCCAAACAGGTTGCAAGGAATTTGCAGTCCTTTCTTGGCAAGAGGGGCAAAGTTGCCTTTGTAGAAGAGAAAGCTCCAGCGCAGCAGAACAGCTATGACTGTGGGATGTATGTGATCTGCAACGCAGAGGCCCTGTGCCAAGAATTCTTCCAAGGGCAGCAGGAACCGGTGCTTCAGCTCTTGACTCCTTCGTACATCACGGGCAAGAGAGAAGAATGGAAAAAACTCATTGCTAGACTCTCCAAGAAGTGACTTGTGACTTTCCAGCGATTGGTCTTTTTTTTTTAAAAAAAAAAAAGCTTGTTCTCTGTGCCTGAGAGGAAAACTTGTGCACAAGACGTCTTTCTCCCTACAGAAAGAATGTACTTATCTTTGCACTTCTTCTGCACTGCATTATTCTGCAGTGCTAAGCTCTGGGAAATAGCGACGATGCCATCTTCCCTACAGTTGGAGCAGCTGCCGCTTAGCCTAACTTCTGTATCTTCCCAAATCCCTGCGATGCTCAAGTTCTTTGTAGGCATGTGTGTGTGTGTGTGATCCAGTTTCAGTGATGTCAGTGGCAGAGACATGGCCTCTGTGCAATTAGGGCAGCTTTCAGTGTCTCTCCTTTGGAAGCATCTCTGAATGTCTGGGAATGGAGATCAGATTTTTATATAGCGGCAAAATCACTGTTACTGCTTGTATCCAAAGCTTCAATCTTAGAGCTGTCCCTTATTTCTGCTTTTCTGAAAAGGAAGTGGAGGAAAGCTATTTGTTGTGTGAAGTGTTTTGCCTGCCTCCAGTAACTATACGCTTTACTGTAGTATGAGGAAGCCAAATTATTGTACAGTACGGTAGCCTCGAAGGCAGGAGAGACCGCTCCTCTTTATTCCTAGCTCCATTTCCACCTCCTGTTTATTTCACACAGTAAGGATTTTTTTTAAAGGTGCTGTACTTTTGAATGAATGGTATGATGAAACTATTAGAGGGAAAGGAATTTTCCCTTCAGTATCTAGACTGGGGCCAGGGCCGGGGATGGGGGA